ATTATTATTATTATTATTATAAGGCTATCTTAAAAAATGTCGGAAATTATTCCTCAAAATTCATTGTGTGTACAATATGTCTTTTAGCGTATTTATTTATTTTTACATATGTTTCTAGATTATTAATTTTATACTACACATTGCTCACTGATAATTTGTTGTGCGTTATAATATTATTATTGTCATAAAAGATACCCAGGTAGCCATTTTGTAGGTTTGCATGTATATGTCGTTTTAGTGTAATCTATATACATACCTCCAAACATATCAAATGAACAATGAGGGACACTTTAATTTTAGAGGTGTGAGTGGTGGTGTGGACAGAGGCAGGGCTATACTGAAACATTTTAGGTGGCTTACTAATAACAATTTAGATAACTTAATGTAATTTAGAACAAGAACAATGTGTCTTATTTACACAGATTTTGAAAACATATTTATTGTGGTTTAAAGCCACACTACTGTTGCTGTGGAGTTTTGCACTCAGATGCACCAATAATATGGAGTTCATATAAAAGTGGGACTCTAGGATAGTAATGAGAGCCAGATGGAATTGGATCCAAAATAGGGACTATAGTTCCTAAATAGGCACACTTGGAAGTTCAATGGATATGCTGTTTGTTAATATTGACTGTACATGTCATGACTGTTATTAATTTTTGGGAGGGAAATATAATATCTCTTTGGCACATATTTAAGTTTGCTTCCCCTCCCAAACAGTACATACTTTCACCTGTTATTTCTCCATTGTATTCCATCTAGAGGCCTCACACAACATATCCACTTCAAGAACTAACCTCCATTTTCACTAACCACTAACCCCCCCCCCCAGTCAAGTTAAATAGTTTCTGAAAAATCCTTCAAAATAAAAAAAATATTGTCACAGCAGCACCTCAAAAATAACATAAAATGACCCCATACTATACTTACAAGTATTTGTAAAGAACATCTAGTTCCCCACAAAGTAAAAAAATAGTACTGCTGAATGCAGCGCCCTGGGTTAAACTGCATGTCACATCGATTTGCAATGCAAAATGTAAGGTGAGTGTAAACTTTGTTGGGAGGGAAGGTGGCAAAAATGCAAAATAACATGTAATTGAATAAAACTGTTGAATACAGAAAAGGGCAAATGTAATTTATTCGTGGTTTATTGTTGGTACACATTCAAATTATCGAGAAAATCAAATTAAAGTTATCTTTAGGAATGTTCATTTACTTGAAGTTTAATGCCCTATAACTGGCAAACAATGCATCCATTTTACCTATTATGGAGAAGGCAGAGAGCATCATGGGAGCTAAGGTACAACAACAGCTACACAGACACCTTAGTTGACTGATACAATTGGTCATTTTTCAATAAGTAGGGAGTTTTGTTGCAATGGGTTGGCAGCTGAGTTGCGTAGTTAAAAATTTCACCTTTATTGAAACTTGATTATAAACTCCCAGTAACTTACTATTTATGGGGTTATTTGCTAAACTGAGAATTGATGGGAATTCAAAATGAATTATAAAAAATAAAAGAGGCTATTTTTACTGAAAATAAAATTTAATTTCTAATCCCTGGCATTTAACACTTTAGAAAATAACTTGGTAACTGAATAAAGCTATGTTAACTAATATTACAATATGTGCAAATGTGGCATATAATTAAATAGTTAAATGGACATGCTAGACCAAGGGACAGTTGAAAAAAATATTTGATTAATATTAGAATTACAAAAAAATCACATTGTAATTCAGATTATAAGAGCGATCTGAACAAGTTTGGACCTCACAAGCATCTTGAAATTCCATACCATAATTCATGTTAGTAAATTATTTCAGTTTTTTGTTACGTGAAGCAAATTATCCCACACTTACATCAATATTGCCTATAATGTTGTTCAAATGCACTATAATGTAAAGTGAGCTATACAGTACGTATTTCTCATGAGGATTTACTATTACTTTAAGAACGTAAACATCTAAAGTACATTATTAATGGGTAGTTAAGGCAGGTCTATGTAACTACAGCCTTATAGTTATTAAATTATAATCCCTCTTCCCCTAATTAATCAGACTGGACTGGAAGGTTTGGGAGTTGTTACCCTGACGGATACCCAACCCTTCTTCAGAATACAGTATAACTATGGATTTTATATACATATAATAAGTTTAGAATTTCTCCAATTAACGTGTGATTAAATGATTAGCATGTATTACTCATCATTTTTGTTTACATATTAGACTTCTTAGTTACCATTTTGTATTATTATCTTGGTAGGAAGCAGTCTGTATCACTCAGCGTTGGGTTTTAGTTTATTAATTCCTGCAAGTATATTAAAAAGACTTTTTCTATTGGAGTGGATGCGTCCCATTAACCTTATTTCCCATCTTGTGGTGGGTGTGTTAGATAAGAATCAAATTAGGACAGCTGCAGGTCAAAATGCTAACTACGGAGTATTTAACTGAGAACAATTTAGTGGTTTCCACAAGACATTTGTCTTTGATAACTAATTATTTTGGTTTAATTTTTTTTTTTTACCATTGTAATATACATATATTGCCCAATTAGCATTGCTTGGCGATTTCAAGGCCTTTACATCTGGCAGCCACCTACTGACACTAGTCGACATGATTAGTGCTTGAAGTGATAAACTGGGCTATATAATATAATTATAGATATTTATGCACAAAGTATAAAAAGCCCTAAACTATAACTGATTATGAAAAAAATATTCTCAGCAATGCAATGTTTTTAGTCACACAAAGGGACACTTACTAATTAATCTTACATTGGTGATTATTCTCAGAACACTGACATGTGGTTAATTAATAAAAGAAATTGCACAATTAAGACTAAAGTAGACAAGTTGTGGCTATGGTCAAATTGGAAAAATATCCGAAATCAGTTATGTTGGTCTACATTTTGCAAATAAGCTTTCAAATCACTTCAGTTTAGTATTTAGAGAATAAAACCCCAATGTTAAATCTGAACTGGGTTATCTTTCCATTCCCAGAAACCTTTTTTAATATTTGAGACAAAAAATATAAAAATATTGCAACAAGTTGGTTGATGAAATACTAGGTTTCAATGGGAATTTCAGTCCTAATAAATCTTGTTCAATAACTCATGTTTTCTAGCTGAGAGATTTTGAGATATAACCCTTTTTGCACTATTGTGTAACCAGGTTGAAGTCGGAATCCCAAAAGGGTCGTTTATCAGATATATCCAGTGCCTGATTTCTCAAAGTTGAAATATCTCATTGATTTTAAATAACGTCAAAACAAATTCATGGTAAACCTGCAGCAATTTTTAAACTGCACTGCTTAGTTTGCATCGTGCTATTTACCCATTGTTTTACACATGTCTCTGGAAACTGATGAGTGATATGAGCACCATATTGTATAGCTGCTATAATTAAAATATGGCTTATTGTAATCTGCAGCAGACGGAACAGTATGCCAACATCAAACAACACACTGCCAGTATTTTATTTTCTAATTTTCTTCTATTAAGTCAAGCGGTTTAGAAAGGTCACCTGAATTTTGCAAAAGGCCAAATTTGAAATCGGAGCAAGCCTTTAACCCTTTGAGAACCACCCAGCTGTGCAAATCGTTGGAAACCTGACTCGAGAGTTAAATAACACCAGCAAGCTTCGTGTTTCTGACTTGACATACAGATTAGCCTAACGCGAGAGGAAAACAAGGTTTTCTACTGCAGATGGCACTGTACCCTAAAAATACAGGCTCTTTGTTCCCTTTGCAGTGATTTCAAGACTGCAACTTTCCTCAAATTAAAAGGAATTTTTCACTGTCTCTACCTTCAAATTAACTGGGTATCTGGTGAATATTTGCCTTAGCAATGCACACAATTATTCTATGCCCCAGGGAGTTATATTTCACATGACACTCAGCCAGCCATGAGGCCCACATTAGTCATCTGTCAACTACACCATGCTAACATCAAATGAAAAATGTCCAGATTCCTCCTTTAAATTGGGATGCTTATAAAAATGCCTTATACAGGGCGTTTTATATTGATGTACATTAAGCATTACCATAAACATCTCTAATCCAAACAAAGGTGTGAAGTAGCATAATCTAATTAATTTCATTCCAGAAATTAAAATTAACTTAAAAAAAGGTTATGAAACTATAATATCTATTTTTCTCCCATTCTCTCTCTCTCTCTGGTTTAAAACAGTAAAGATATTAGAGATATTCAACAAGCTCTATAAAAAGATGATTAAGACACAATAACCAACAGGCCCTTTAGATACAAATCAAATTAAATTAATTATAGCAATACTGTTTTCATTTAACATTCATAATACTTAGACTTTTTTTTTTATTATTAAAAAAAATCCGTAGACTGGTTAGTCTGCAAAGACATATGATGAAAAAGAATATATAAGCTCCCTGCCATATTCTCTTTATTAATGTGGGACACAAGCGGAATGGAACATTAACCCTTTAATGTCACAAGACAATTCTAGACGACATGCTCTTGAAACATTAACTAGGTTTCCCTCTAGCTTGCAACAGATTGTTCTGCAATGCATTGCACACATCTCTCCTAGGGGTAAAACGTTCTGAAATTCGAGAATTACTAACATACTGCCATTTTAAATGCAATTCTGGATTAAAAAATAAAATAAAATAGTATTAACAGCTATATTTTAGATAAACTAGTATTTAAGAAGTAGAAAATATCTACCTAAAGCAAACAGATCACTCTGTATCCTTATACTTGGACTTTTTTCAGTTGCCATAGAAACATAGAAATTAACTGAACCACTTTATTTTCCCTATTTATCTATATATCTACTTATTGTTCATACCATTTTTGATGTCACACTTCTATATATATATATGTGTAAAAATGAAAATATTTTACATATTTGTGTTATACATGCATACACACACACCACACACATACCACACAAAGACGCACACACATTTATATATATCTTTAATAAGTATTACTGTAACTGTATAAATTTAGATTTGGTGGCTGTGGTTTTCCAATGAATATACTGCACTATATTCTATCTATTCACCATTCCTCAATTTAGTCCCTCGAATCTTACATCACTTACTGCCGTTTGCATAAACAGAGCATTTTTCCTAGCTAGGTCTTGGCATGGTTAATGAATGGCCATTATACCCAGAGACTGCTATTATACTATGACAATATAACTTTAGCACTGAAAGGAATTTATAAGAATTGCTGATGGTAATAGAGACGACCATTGTTTTATTTTTAGGATTACAAACTGTTTTGTTCTGCATCCTTTCCAGCTGTTGAACTCTTTATATCTGAGATTGATGGGTGAAGAGTGTTTATCTAGCTGTGACTGGATTGCAACACCCATCAAGGACAGCCAATACAAGACAGGATCCTTTGAGATGCTGTCCAACAACAGCTTTTTATACACACTTTTAAAGCTCTCTGGTAGCTTTTTTTCTAAATCCATCATCCTAAAGCCAGCCACAGCATTTCTAATTCTGAAATGTCACATATGAAGTCCATATCAATAATGCTTGTGTTTAAACCTATACATATATATACATCATGTACACGGCTGGAACAGATTCTCCAGTTAATGAAAGCACATGAACTAAAGATATTCTTTAGGATGTTTGCATTTGACAAACTGCAGATTGTTGACTGGTAAATATAATCAGATTCTGATCAATGTGAGCTTTAGGTCCCTACAGATATTCTATTTAACCCCTTAAGGACACAACTTCAGAAACAAAAGGGAATCATGATGGAATATTTCGTCATGTGTCCTTAAGGGGTTAAAACACTTTGAAAACAGTGCTTTTAGTTTGAAAATTGGATTTCAGTTTGCTTTCACCATAACCTTATTGCTCTGCAACTACTGCTTTTCAATCCAGCCCTATTACAGTTAAAGTGAACAGATCTATCTCTCTGTCTCTCTGTCTATCTATCTATCTATCTATGTTCCTTTGCCAAGCATTGCACAAGAAATTTCAAAAACCAAATCAATTTGTCTTTAGGTCACATTTCAACAGGTGAATACAATCTTTATCTTTGGTAGTATACCGACCCTTCTTTATTTTTAACCATCTAGCCCAAAAGAAAAGGACATTATGTATTATGCAGTCCTGCAGTATTCCTAGCATCAGCTGCACTCCAAATATTACCCCGTTTATTGCAGTGTGAGCTATTTAGTGCTATCAGCCATTGATCCATCTATTGCTAAATCAAGGCTGTTGCTGGGATAGCTTTACTGCCAAAGAACTGCAGATGTAGAGGTGATATGAGATTTACAGTTTCTTTCCCATTGATCTACTGAACACCACTCTTCAAATATTGTAAATGCTATTTTATTTTAAACATAGTAGTTTACAAAAATCAATAATTGATACCTTTGTTTTTTTACACTTTCAAGTTCCTGAATATAGACAGAGCTTCATATCATATGAATATTTCTTTTTGTGTTTGTGTGTGTGTGTGTGTGTTTTTTTTGTTTATGGTGGACTGTCCTGAAGTTTTAAGACACAATAAAGCTAACATTTCAAGTCTTTCAAACCAATCCTTTTCTCCGTCATGTCAGTCAAGTGATGAAACAGAAAAAAGCTCAATAAATCCCATCTGTCTGTCTCTGCCATTGTTATTTGGTTGTACAATGCTTAATCCCACACTGAAAAGAATCAGACCTCACACTCCCTCGCTGGCTGCTGGTGACATGAACAAGACCCATACTCGTTAATGATAACCAGTGCTCCTTCAATGTGATTGGGTTTGTAATCAACATAATATTCTTGTGCAGACATGGCAGCCATTTGATGCATGGTTTGTTTTTGTTTTTGCTTTCTACGTTGTGTGACAAAACACTGCCTTAGTTGTCTAAGGCTGGCCGGAAAACACTTCCATGAAACATACAACATCAAGACCACAATCAGAAAGGAGAATATTAGTGCCATTGTCCCTGTAACTACCTTGTGTATCTGAACAGTGTTCTCAGGTTGCTCACTGGCTATTGTAGCTGTGAGACTGCTTGTGGTTCTTTCACCTTCTGTATCCTGAACATCATATGTAGTAGTAGTTGGGTTGTCAATAGTATTTTTGTCACTGTTGTTGAGTGCTGTGGAAAATGCACTGATACTTGTTGGGTCTGCTGAGTCTTCACACAAATGGAAAGCATAGACTGCATCTAGAACATCCTCACCTTGAGCATACTCAGGAGTTGCACATAGCATATTGCCATCATATCGACCTTTAAAGTTACTCAGCCAGGAGGCCAAGGCGCAAACATTACGTCCACAATCCCAACTGTTGCCAGCCAGGGTGATGCTTGTGAGAGACTTCCAAGAGTTTAGGATTCTAGAATCAATATAGGTGAGGTGGTTGGAATCTAACTGCAGTGATTCCAGATGAGGTACACTTTCAAAAACATGAGGTTCGATATATTCAATCTCATTGCCAGAGAGGTCCATCTTTTCTAGTTTCCACACCCAGTCCAAGGAGTTAACAACTATAGTGACTTTATTCCTCCTCATAAACAGAGAGTGCAGCGAGAGGAGTCGAGGAAAATGAGCTAAATTCACCTTTACCAAGTCATTGTGCTCGAGGTGGAGTTCAGTAAGTTTAAACAAACCTGCAAAAGAGTTACGAGCAAGGCTTTTCAACTGATTGTATCCCAAGTCCAGGAACTTCAGGCTGCGACAGTCCTGAAAGATTCTTACTGGCACAAACTTGATGGCGTTGTAGCGCATATGCAAAGTCGTCAGCTTGCGTAGACCATGGAAAAGATCTGGTTCTAAAGACTGTAGGTTATTGTTTGATAAATCCACACTGCGCAAGTTCGGCATGGGTCGGAAAGTAGTGTTGGCCAGATGTTGTATTTTGTTGGAACTCATAGTGAGCTCTTTAACTCTACGCAGTTTTTGAAAGGAATTCCCCTCCACAGAGTTGATGTGATTGTGATCCAGATAAAGCCACGTGAGCTGAATTAACCCAGTGAACTGTCCATCTTGCAGCTCTGAAAGGCTGTTGTACCGCAGAGACAAGCCCATCACACCCGACAGGTTGTTAGGGATCTCCGTAAAATTCTGTGATTCACAGTACAAAAACCTGCCATCGCAACGACAGAGCCTAGGACATCCACTGTGAACAAGTGGAAGCATTTTAACAAATATACCCAGTGTACACAATATTAACCCTGGGGGCTTCCTCAGCATCCAGTTTAAACAGATACCAATGAGAAGGAAATCCATTGGCAAGAATGTATCCAAATGTTCTGGAGAATGTCCATTGAATCCTTTCCCAAATTCTACATCATATTTTAATATAAAAATATGTATATCTACAAAGATACAGAGAGAGGACAGACTTTACAACATGCAGGATCTTGGCAGCATTAAAGTTCAGGAAAATGGAAAGGTGAAAAGATTGTGTTTTTGATCATGGTAAATGCTGCAGAAAAGGGCTAAGAGAAAAAAAGAAATTTTCTTCATGAAAGAATTTAATTAAAAAAGTGTCTTACCCACCCTTTTCCATAGAGTGTTAACCTCCATTCAGCTGCTTCCTTTGTGTTTTAGCTAATTATATGCAGGGCTAAAAGACCCCTCTGTGTTACAAATTCACTGGCTTTCAGTCTGCGCAAAGCTGGCAGCTTCACAATGTCCCACTTTGCTTCTTCTCAATGAGATGAAAAAAGGGGGGGTCTCATTACCTTTTAGCTGACTTGTAGGACCTTTAAGTTCCACAACTACCAGCTCGATCTTCTCCCTTTCTGCCCGTCCTTTTTCTCTGCAGTTAATATCGTGACATTCTGAAAAAAACCTCCAAACTCTTTGTTAACGACTCCAACCAAATCTGCAGATCTGTTTTATGTCCATTTGTAACAAATGCTCACCAAAAAAAAAATCCATTGACTCCATAGAGACATATTACGACACGTTCAGTGACCGGCTGAGAATAGCTTAACTCCTATTCTTTTTTTTTTTTTCCTGGTTTCCTTGGTGGTTAGCTGATGCTTCTAGCAGAGGGAGAGAAAGACAGACAGAGAAGGCTTCTTTCCCCTTCAGCTGAAGCAGTGTGTTACTAAAGCATGCAGGGGCACCTACTGCTCAGTGAGTGTCGTAAGCTGATCATGATTGTACGACTGCATCGAGCATCTCAGACATGGGCAGATTGAAAGGGGTGGGCACAAAACCAACATTTTAGTGAACCAGTAAAGTAATATATGTTCATTGCTGATGAAATGGAAAATATTTTAAGCTTCTCTATCCATTGCCCAAAATTATCAGCAGCATTAAGACCAAGGAAAGAGCTGCAGCATAACAAATACATTTTTATATCTGTCTGTATATTTCTATTCATGCTGTACATGTATGTGTGTCTGTGTGTGTATAAAAAAAAAGTGGGTGTTTTTTTTTTTGTTTTTTTTTGTTTTTTTAATACTGTATATTTATCTGTATTTTATTTCTGATTGTTGATTGCATATGTTCCTAATTCGGGTTGTAACTATATACTGTACAAATAAATGATTGCATTTTTATTATAATAAGCTTTATTTGTAAATGATTATAGATTTTTGAATATTATTGTGTGGTAAACACACACTCACACACACACACACACACACAAAAAGTGTAATTTATATATCTAAATATATATCTAGAATCATATATTTATATACACATACACACACACACATTTACTTACACATGCTGACATAATAAACACACACATCCCTTCTCTCTCTCTCTCTCTTTCACACACACACACACATCCCTGTGCTCTTGTGCAGACACACAGACACACACACACATCTATTTGAACATACTCTGTTTATGATTGTGTTAAATAATGGCATAAGTTGTTGCCATAGAAATGCTCTTTTTGCAGGAAGGGTCTGTTTTGGGTTGGTACGTGGGTAGCAGTAGTTTGTCATGCAGCACCTGTATTCACGGGGAAAATTTAGCTAACGAATCAGCTTTATTCCTAAAAAGTGTACTTAGGATAAGAAAAAAGGCAGGATCACTGACTTGGAAAAATCAGTTTTATGTTTATTAATATATTAAACACTTCTTTGTTGAATCTGAATGTGAGACTTTGCATCTATAGCCAGGTTTCGGCATTAATGTGGCTTATTCTGATGTATATTTAATTATGGCAGAAAAAAAGACTAGTGGCTGTAAATGACAGCCCTTCTGTAAATCTTACTTACTTTGGAGACGGTGTCCAACACTATTGACAGGGAAATGTTGGCAGTGGTTTTCAATTATAGAATATCTTCAAAGATTGCTGATACAATCAGAGCTGTGCTAATTCAGTGTCAGGGCTCCTGCATGGATACGCAGTAAAGAGATGAAGAGGGCTCTGTCTAGCTACCCTCTTCTTTAGTCATCATTGA